GATTTTGGCGCATCCTACCTGTTCTCGGGGTGGTCAGAATCATTTCTCCTCTCCTGCTGTTTTGCCCTGTCCTGTTTTTTCCCACGGAAGCTGTGGATCCTGGAGTTTTGGTGAGATAAACACCCCTGCGCACGCCAGCGTTCTTCGGAGTGGTAGGGCTGGTCTTCCTGCTCCTTTCCTGCTTCCCTTCACCCGAGCCTCCGCCGATGGACCCAGCAAATCGTGATGTGCACCTGCTCTGACCAGATGTCGAGTACCTGCCGCCGAGCTGGGCTTCCTCGCGTCGCTCCTGCTGTTCAGCCACTTCCTGGTCCACGCCTGCGGGGCCTACGCCTGCAGGTCCTTCTGGCTGCAGCCTTTTCAAGTGTCCTGCTACTGCAGCCCAAACCAGAGCTCATGGAACTCAAAGAGCCCTCAGAAGCCAGAGTTATGCCGCCTATATCAGAGGCTCCTGCTCTGCCGTCCCAGTGTTCGAGTTTCAAGAGTTCCTGTGTGTCCCGAGTCAAGAGTTCGAGTGTGTCCCGAGTCAAGAGTTTGAGTGTGTCCCGAGTCAAGAGTTCGAGTGTGTCCCAAGTCAAGAGTTCGAGTGTGTCCCGAGTCAAGAGTTCGAGTGTGTCCCGAGTCAAGAGTTCGAGTGTGTCCCGAGTCAAGAGTTCGAGTGTGTCCCGAGTCAAGAGTTCGAGTGTGTCCCGAGTCAAGAGTTCCTGTGTGTCCCGAGTCAAGAGTTCGAGTGTGCCCCGAGTCAAGAGTTCGAGTGTGCCCCGAGTCAAGAGTTCGAGTGTGCCCCGAGTCAAGAGTTCGAGTGTGCCCCGAGTCAAGTCTTCGAGTCCCCAGTCAAGTCTTTGAGTCCCCAGTCAAGTCATCGAGTCCCCAGTGTTGTGTGGCCTTGTGGGCGTCTGGTGTCCGCCCCTTAAGAGGGGGGTACTGTCACGATCTGCCCCTGCCCTCCTGACTGTGTCTCTCTCCTGCCCTGATTAGTCCATATTGTTCTCACCTGTCCCTCGTTAACCTGCCCATGTTCTCCTTATTAGCCTTGTGTATTTATACCACCTGTTTTGCTCCTGTCCTTTGTCAGATCATTGTTGTTTGTTGTCACCGTTGTGTTTGTTCCTGCCGTTCCCGTTCAGTATTTAAATTCGTTTTTACGTTATCCGTGCCTGCTCTTCTGCCTCCGGAACCCACCACCACACATGGTCCACCATCTCCACCCGCAAAACGTGACACTCGGAGGATCCAGGTTTGAATCCAGGCAAGGACAAGAGATAACTTATAAGTTTTTTTTTTTATTATTCCAGTGATATCTTTTACAGTTATGACCTTTCAACTGTCATTAAATGTCCAAATGTTTGCTGGAAGTGCAGTTGAACTTGAGGAAATCATATGACTCTGGAAGAGAGGGGAAGATGGCCATTGACACCTCAGCTCAGTGCAGTCAAGAATTACTGGTGTTTGGGTAGTCCTGAGCATGTTGTGATGCCCCCACCGTCTCATTGGGTTTTCATAGTGTTTTTTCTTCTGTTGCAGGCAGCTCGTTAAGCAGCCTTGGAGGCACCTGGGCTCAGGGTGTGGTGCTGCTGCTGTCTATAACCCCTCCTTTCTACCATCTCTGGAAGCTTTTCTCCATTTCCGCGTCCGATTTCCTGTCTTTCCTTCCCCAAAAATGTCGAACTTGACCCATTTCAGAGGCGTAGCGCGTAGAAAATAGAACCGGCGTGTAAGGGCCGCGACATGCTGCTCCTGAGACGCGGCCGGCTCGCGCTGCTGACGGCTCCGGTGGAAAAGGTTCTGTTGACCACAGCGGTTCCTATCAGCAGCTATGACGTGCTGCTGCAGGAACGTGCTGCTGATGGCTCCGTCACGGCTCCAGTGGAAAGGAGGGGTAAAGCCTACTGTTTTTCTGCTTTCACTGGGTCTCTCCTGTGTGGTGGAGAGTCCTCACTGGCCATTTTCTGTTCATTAACTTGCTTTAGTAAATCCTTACTTTGGTTAAATAAATCAGTTGTTAAACCCCCACTCTGTTTGGTCCCCTTTCTTGTTACAGCCCACCACTCCGAGACTGGGTTGTAACAATCTGCAGACAGATTTCTGAGTATCTCCTCCTTTGGTATACAGACCTCACTGAGCCAAGTACTGTGAACAAATAGTTGCTCCATGATGTTATTATCCAGCAAGGTCCCGTTTTTTGGAAACAAGGGTGATGTAATGAAAAAAATAGGAAAAACTCGTTGATAGGTTGCAGCATATGGCCTGTAAATATGGGGTCTTTATGTGCCTGTCAAACACTGACCATGGATGGTAGAGAGCTCAGAAGCATGCACAAAAAGTGAATCAGGATGTCATATGATGTAAACCTAAAGAAATTGAATACATGTTGATGTAGATGTTCATAATTGAACCATCATAGTGATCATAGCATAATCAGTCTCATGGAACCAAAGCTTCTCTTCTTTGTTCATAGAGTTTGTGTTTATTGAGAATATTTGACCCAGAAAGAACCTGATCAATAAACCCATCTGATTGGCTTCTCTAATGTTGGTTCAGATATAAAGTTATATCTGTGATCTGGTTCTGATCCAGATGTGATCTGGTTCTGATCCAGAATTGATCCAGTTCTGATCAGGATGTAAACCGTTCTGACCCAGATGTGATCCGGTTCTGATCAGGATGTGGTCCATTCTAATCCAGTTCTTATCCAGATGTGATCTGGTTCTGGTCCAGTTGTGATCCATTCTAATCCAGATGTGATCTGGTTCTAAACCAGTTGTGAACTGTTCTGATCCAGATGGTATCTGGTTCTGATCCGGTTCTGATCCAGTTGTGATCTGGTTCTGACCCAAATGTAATCATGTACAGATCCAGATGTGATTCATTATGATCCAGATGTGATCCTGGTCTGATCCAGACACTATCTGGTTCTGATCCGGTTCTGATACAGTTGTGATCCATCCTAATCCAGATGTGATCCCTGGTCTGATCCAGGGTCATCATTTATTGAGCACTGGTAGAAACTGTCCTGTATTTTTCCCTAAGAATGAAATCTAGAATGTTCGTACGAACAGCCAAAATCCTGATTAATGAAAGGGGCGGTGCCTGGCTCATGTTTCAGGAGTTTAGATATTTTTTAATAATTCCGTTGAAGCATGGTTGAAAGGTTGTGTCTGACTTTCAATGGTTAAATTTCATAGAATTTTTTTTATTAATATTATTTATATAATTCTTATTATTACTTTTGTCAGATTCAAGTTATTTCAGTGACCATAGAGCTCTGGGAGTTGACGTCACTTCTCCCGGTATACAACAGTTCAAATCGAAATGGCGCCCTATTGGCAGGCAGAAGCCGGCAGCTGGACTATTTGTTATTGTCAGAAAACTCAATCAAACCAGAAATATGGTAGATTCCTGTTGTGCCCCCGGATGCAGAACAGACGCGGACGACATAAGGGATGAGCCATCTACAGGATTCCCCAAAATCCGGAGCGCCGCAAACGTTGGATCATTGTAATAAAACGCGTTAGTGACCGGGCTAAAAAGAAACTGTGGGATCCCGAGAGTAAAGGTTTTCGCTTATGCAGCGACCACTTCATATCAGGTACTTAAACCAACGTTTCCTCAACTGTGTATGGTGTTTATTTTAAATGCTTTTTTTTATGATTCTTAGTGGGCTTCCTAAACTTATTTTAGCGTGGCTTTTTCTGTCTTATTACTCATAGCAACAAGTAAACATCACGTAAAACGTTGCCTCGTGAGTTCTGCGTGCTGCCGTTTACGTGTTTTATGATCACAGCAATTAACCGGCTAAGCTGTATTTAATTTTTAACCAATGGCTGATCAATTGTCAGATCACACATAAAAAGCACTTTGGATTGCTATTATCTGTCCCACCGAGACAGATCTCAGACAGATTTTGAGATGCTCCTGCCTGACATTTATTTTATTCACAGAAAAAAAAAATCAGACTAGTGATTTCTCTTGGTGTTCAGTTTATACATTCAAACAGCACAGCACTCTATTTAAACTGCTTACATGTAAATCTATGTTATTTGTCCATCCATCCATTTTCGTCCACTTATCTGGAGTCGGGTTGCGGGGGCAGCAGCCTAAGTCGAGAGGCCCTGACTTCCCTCTCCCCAGCCACTTGGGCCAGCTCCTCTGGGGAAATCCCAAGGCGTTCCCTGGCCCAGGTCCGGTAAGAAGTCTGCTCCGACAGCTTCTGGCGGTTTTAAAAAGTATCCCAGGGGCACGGTAAGGGTCGGAGATGTTTAGTCTATTTAATTTCTGACTATAAAACGATTTCTTCGGTTTTAAAGTGTGAAGTAAACTCTGACAAAGTAAAATCCAAGCGGATCCCATTCATTTTGTTTCCCTTTGTTGCCTGCCAACATGGCGTCTACTCTGAGAGTCACGTGACGTCCGGAGCTCTATTGTGGGTTTTTCTCTCATTGACTGAAGGGTACCAACTATTTTTACCAAGTCTGTAATTTGAGTTTGAGGAACACGTGTGGATGACAGACCTTCAGTGTTGGGGTTCCCCTGTTCTACTCCAGATGCTGTTGTACGCATGGTCAGAGCTGTTCATGTATTTAGGTTCATTTCTACACACTACTAGATGGTAGATACCACACAATTTGTAAAAGAGGAATTAAATACACACAGATTTGCTCTAAATCTAAAAAATCATGGTTGAAGATTTCATAATTCATGCATCAAAGGGTTAAATCTAAGCGTTACTGTACTTTATGCCTTAATATTTCAAAGTTCCTTGTTGTTTGATATCACTTTTATATGTCAATTGGAAGCCTATGTTATTCCCCCGTTTATGCCTTGTATACCCCTATTTCCTTGTGTTCTCTTGTATGGTGACTTTGATTTATACTATGTTGATTTTTCTACCTCTACGAGATGTTTTTATTTGATTTGTTCTTCAATAAAGCTTTAAATAAATAAAATCAGTTTCCTCAGATGCGTGTAGTTCCTGGTTCAGCCACACGAGGAAAGTCTGACCTATGAACACGTGACTAACTGGAAGTTTGGAGTGAACCCGGAAGTCAGCTGGTCAGCAGTTAATAGTCCGAAAATCAGCTTTTATTGTGAAGCAGCTTACTTGCTCTGATTTACCCAGGTGAGTTTGACTCAAATTACAGCTTTTTATGAATTTAACAAACCTGAGGCAGATGTGTGTAAACACCAAAGCAGGTGAAACATCTGCAGATGTTTTAGATAAATCCGTGTCCTCTTCATTTTGTTTACTTTCCATTTTGTTCCCTTTATTGTTGCTTTGTCGTTTTTGTTTTCCCTCTTCCTTCCCAGCTTGTGTTTCTCCTCAGGCTACCGACATTAGCGCACTTGTAAAGAGTAGCATTGCGCATACAAGGTGTATTACGGTTTTGCAGCTGAACAAATGAAATGGAGGAAACGAGGCAGAAACATAAAACGTGTTTTATTGACAAGTCTCAGTATTTCATGTATTTACTGTAGATGTTTGGAAACAAAGACAAACAACCCTGGAATGCAGACACAAGTGATGCTTTTGTCATTTTCAGGAATTTCTTTCTCCCACATTGTTACACAGTGAAGTAGTAAGTAAGTAAGTAAAAGTGTATTTATAGAGCGCCTTTCACAGACATAAATCACAAAGCGCTGTACAACATGATAAAGATCAGGGCAAATACCTCTAACCAATAAAAATATCAGAAAAACAATATCAGTGATAAAATAGTAAATAAAATCATGAGTATAAACAAAGTGAAGGTGTGAACCCGAACAAAGCCATCTTTTAAAACATTTAGGGAGGGAACGCCTGGATGAAAAGGTGAGTTTTTAGATGATTTTTAAAGACCTCTACAGTGTTAGAGAGACGGAGATTTGAAGGTAGACTGTTCCAAAGTCTGGGTGCAATAGTCTGAAAGGCCCTGTCCCCTTTGGTTTTCAGTCTGGTTCGAGGAACAGCCAGGAGGTTTTCAGATGTGGATCTAAGGTTCCGAGAGGTGGTGTGTGGGGATAAAAGCTCAGATAGGTAGCTTGGAGCCTGCTTGTTAGGAGCTCTATAGGTCAGGACTAAAACTTTAAACTGAATTCTGTATGCTACCGGGAGCCAGTGGTGAGGACAAAAGAGACATGCTGACTTGGTTGATGAGCAAGGAAAACCAGTTAAATTTCCTCTGGTCAAAAAAAATTCAGAAAATCCAGCAGTCTTCAAAATAGCCACCCATCCATCTCTCTTCCAGTCTCAGTCACTTCCAGAGAGCGGTCTCTTGCCACACCCAGCAGTCCATATACCCAATCACCCCAGCCTTTCACAGAAGATAATAAAATGTTAACATTCATACCACCTTCAGCTATTTTTGATAACTAGATAGTCTACATGTAAATCACATCAAATTTACAAATAATTCATTCTATGCCTTTCTTTAAAAGTTCTCCACTCCGGCATTTTACTGTAGAAAGGCAGCTCTTTAGCTGGTTCAAGTTGGCTGCCACAGAGGACAATTCCTGAGGGTAACAAACAAATTCATGTTTAACACAGATTACATTACAGTCCTGCATGAATACTCTTTAGTTAAAGAAAGCAGATTGCTTCTCAACACAAATCCTAACAGGGAACAAAAGTTCTGTTTGGAATATGTTAAAGGTCACTTCTACACCCAGGATGAATAAATGATAATTTTACTGTAGATTCTTGGCAAAATGGCCTCATTATGCATTTGTGGGAAATAAATTCTCCCAAATTCTACAGTAAAATTATGAAGTATTTATTCAGGTCATAGCAGAGATGACCCTTTAGCATAGCTCAAGGAGTACTTGGTCACCTCCAAGGATTTGAGAGAAAGGAAATCCTGAAAATGACAGAAACCCATTATCTGGTGGAGACGATGACCTCCATCTCAGAAAACCCACCCACTGCATCCCACTGTGGAGGCCGTGGACAGCTCCTTCAGAGACAGACTGACATCCCAGATGTAAAACGGAACGCTACCATAGGTCATCCATCCTCTCTGCAGTAAGAGTGTAGAACTCTTCATTTTAACTGGTACTGGCATTTTCCTGGTACTCAATACCACCAATGCAATACTCAGTTTGTGTACTTGTGCAAAACCAGATTTACATATTATGTTTGTGCCCCTTACAGTGTGCTGCACAGTTCTGGAAACACAAGTTTAATTTATTTTTTGTAGCCGAAGGTTACAATAATAGCTTACTGCCTAAATATATGTGCTTTTATTATTATTTTCTTCACATTATTCTCTTGGTGTCTGTACTGCTGTAACAAGTGAATTTCCCCACTGTGGGATCAGTCTATTCTGTCTGGATCCACGTAGTGACGTATTATGTATTTATCCAAAAAGGATATTATAAATATGGAATGTTTGCACTGGATATTATGTCAAAGCAGCAGGCATGTCAATAAAACAATGTTTGGTGTTTTTGCTTCTCGTTTACATTTCTTGTTTTTCAGCCGCAAAGACAACGTTCTGTTACCGTAATGCACCTTGTATTCGCGAAGCTAAAACTTGGCCAAACCAAACAAATTCAGTCACAGAAGAATACAAATCTCAGAATTTGTAACTGATGTAGGAAGAGCTATCGCTGATCAGTCAGGATGTTCCCCACGATCGGGAATTTTTTCAATCCAATTTTTTTAGATTTTTTTTTTGATAAATCAAACCTGTTCTCCAGGGCTTTTAATTTTTAAAGCCACCGGAAGTTGAGCTGCTGTTGCTGCTTGCTGTGAGCTTTGTGATCCTACAGACAGCAGCTGCTGGAGTTCGGGTCGGTTCTGTTCGAGGTTTATTATTAAAGTAGGTATGTTATGGTGGTGACTTTGATTTTTTAAAACTTGTAATCTAATTGTGTGTGTGTGTGTGTGTGTGTGTGTGTTTACCGGAAACGCGCTGTTAGGATTAGTTCAAAGTTACTTTCGTGTTTCTGCAGGTGTGTTCACAACTAATCAGAGGACACACCTGTAACTGGTGATCTCACCTCATGTTTATTATTCATAGAAAAGTTTCTATATTTTATTAGAAAACTGGAACCCAGCAAAGTTTCTGTTGTCGGAACTCGATGAGGTCAAATAAAATTCAAATTTATAGTTGAGTTGAGAAAATTCAGATTTATAGTTGAGTTGAACTAGATTGTTTGGACCGGTTTGGACTCGGTTCTGGTCCTGATCCAATAGAAGTTCCTGCTGGTTCTGAGGAATTGTTGTACGCATCGTGCTTTTACCTCCCCGTCCCTGCCCCCTTTAAGTTTGGTGGGTAATGGTTCTGGTTCTGGTCTGTGGACTGCAGCTGATGGTGACTCCTGGTTCTTTCCTCAGGATGGGGGTGTTTGACAACTGCTCTGTGCTTCTGGAGCTCAAAAGTCTGGCCTTTAAAGAGAAGAAGAAGCTGAACGCCATTGTGACGGAGAATGGTGGACGCATCTGTTTCATCATCAACAAACAGGTGAGAAACTGGTAGACCACGAGGAGGTTCTGGGACATCCAGGTGCCTCTCTTTCGCCTGTTTAATAAGATCTGTTGGTTACTTTTTTCTTTGGTCCTAATCCCATCGGACCCGTTGACCTTCCTGAGCGGCCTCTGTCCAGAGAAATGGGCTATGCCCATCAGGCTTGATGGGTTAGGGTTAGGCTAGTCTAAAGGCTAAAGCTAAAGGCTAGTCTGAGCACAGCCAAGACTAAACCAACTGTTTAACAGTTCTAATATCTCTCCTTTAAACCAGCTCCAGTATGATTTAGTGTCCTAGTGTGAATCTGTCTTTATAAACCTGAATGTCTGAAACTATTTATACACACACACACACACACACACACACACACACACACACACACACACACACATATATATATATATATATATATATATATATATATATATATATATATATAATCTCCCTGTTTCTTCCTACGTTACCCACAGTGCTCTCTAGTGGTGACCAGCGACGTCGCCAACCTGAGCTCCAACCGGCTTCGCAGTATCCAGAAGCACCGCACACCTGTGGTGGAGCCAGATTATCTGCACCGCTGTGTGGAGAGAGGAGTTCTGCTTCCTGTGGACCCATACCAGCTGGAGCCTTCATCAGCTCCTCCTCCTCTGGGACAAGCTCATCGAGGGTCTACATCAGCTCATCCTCCTCTTCACCAAGGTGCAGTAGAGTTCCACTCATTTAGGCCCTGTCCACACGTAGCCGGGGATCTGCCAAAACGTAGATGTTTTTCTACGTTTTGGCCTGTCATCCACACGAAAACGGAGCTTTTTCACACGAAAACGGATCTTTTTAAAAACTCCGGCCAAAGTGAAGATCTGCGTTTTCTCCGTTTTGGGTGTCTGCGTGTGGACAGACAGAACCGGAGTTTTAAGGTCCGCAACGTCACTTTCCGCGACAAAAAAATGCTGACATCACGTGTGCGACCTGTGTTTACACTAGCCGACAGCATGGATGCCCTCAGAGCTGCGCTCGCTTCATCAATTGTCCAAGCGCTTTTTGCTCGTTTGTTTTTGCAAGCGGAATTACTGCTCCTTGCGGAAGACCACAGATGAAGGACGAGGTTAAGAATGGGGGAATTACTGCCGCCTACAGGTCTGGCATGTCCTTAACAACGTATTTATCCGGGTACGTGTGGACAGAGTTTATTTAAAACGAGGTGGTGTGGATGCAAGTTTTTGGAGGGGCGGATATTCGTTTAAAAAAAAAACGGCTACGTGTGGACTAGGCCTTAACAGACTAAGTCTTAACAGCTCTGGAACGTTAATCCTCAATAGGACCCGCCCAGTTTCACTGTGACTCACACTTCCCATCAGCTGATCCATGACTCAGCAGAAACAGGAACCATGATTTGTTCAAACTAAACAGATCAGCTGATTCATAAACATCCTTTAAAGCTTCTTTCCGGAGTATTTCTCTTATTCGGTGACAAAGCATATCACACAAAAATCAGTTGCTTTGTTTTTTTAAGATGACGACTTCACGTTTCTGTTTATAAATGTGCTTCTGTAGCCGACAAACAGCGCTAAAACACGCTGTTTTACGAGTATTATTCTCATGTCATGTTGTGTTCTCATATATTTATATTTTAGAGACTTTCTTGTCCTTGAAAAGTTCATCAACGCTGAATCAGCCGGGGTATTCCTTAAATTTGAAGCATCTAAGCGGTAGCCTAACGCTATTGGTTAGTTCTGGTCGGTGCTCAGTTTCCTATTGCACGGAGGGGGCGTGCTTAGTTAAAAAAAAAAAGACATATCACTTACATTTTATCACAGTAAAGTGATATTATCACTTTTACGTATTTCAGAAAAATCATACATCATTTCTGAAACAGGAAAGCTCCGGAAAGCTGCTTTAACTCCGACTGAGGAACCGCAGATCCAGATAGATCTGCAGCAACCAATCAGACAAGAGCATCTTCCTGTTAGTGTTTTGGACCGCAGGGGCCACCGTAGAGTCTTAAACTCAACGATGACTGTGTTTGTGTTCCAGCCTGGAGTCCAAACTGCCGAGTCTCACCAGAACCAGCAGAAGAGACGGATCCGGAAAAGCTCAGGTGAAAAACGTCCTCATGTCTGTTTTTCTCTCCTCCAGTTTCAGGTTTTTTTCAGTTCCTGAAGACTCCTAAGTCATCGCTGAGCATTCCCGGATAAATCCGCCTTGTGTTTTTTCTGTTAAATTTAACAGGATTTACTCTGAATCGGACCCTGATCTCCCAGCTTTCCCAGATAATTTCCAGGTGGCAAAATATTCCATTTTTGCCAAGGTGAAGCCAGATTTCCTTTGGTGTTTTTGCGGCTTCCTGTGCTTCTGTTGTGTGATTCTTGTTACGTCGGCTTCTTTGCAGACGAACAACAGAACCTGGTGTGTGTTGGAGCTGCAGAGCGTTGGAACTGAGTCGGGTCGGCGTTATCGTGTGGTCCGATACTGGAAGGACGATGTGACTGCAGAGGTGTGATGTCCATAAACGTTCCTCCTCAATACCAGAACTTTCCATCTAATAATTTTTATCTCAGAAACTTTTAGGAAAAATCAGCGGAAGGTGCTGGAAAATCTGGATCTCTGGTCTCTGTTGTTGCAGGAGGTGGCGGTGAAGGACCAGCTGGTCTTCCTGTCCTCCTCAGAGGAAGCTCTGGATGTTTACGAGGCTTTGATGGACCAGCTGGACTCTACTGAAATGGAGAGGATGACCGGTGTCCCTCCAGAGGTGCAGCACATAGGCTCCGCCCCCCTGCAGCAGGTAGGACACCTCCGAGGGCGTGATGGGTTGTGGTTCCGAGTGAGATGGGTGGAGACCTAAGGCTGCAGCAGATTCAACTCCAAACACAAAGATGTAATACAAGCTTCTGCCTGAGGGTGACCAACCAGAACCCGCCCAACAGCAGCAGAACTTTTGTTATTGAAGATTCAGAGTTTATTTGTCCCGGAGACTTTTGGTGGCTCTGCAGCGTCTGATCTAGATGAAGGGAGGACAGCTCAGACCTGGTGCAGCGCTCAGCTTCTCTGATCTCTCATGGGCTTTATGGTCTTGTGTGATGCATGATTGCTGTAAAGACTCTTAACACAAGTCAGTGACTCGATGCAACCGGCTGGGTTCCTTATATAGGAAACTTTTTACTGATTGGCCTAAGGACCTGACCTGTATTGGAATGTTTACTGTGTGAAGGTCCTTGAGACGACTCTTGTCGTGGTTTGATGCTTTATAAATAAACTGAATTGAATTGAAAGTGAAGAAATCATTTAATGGAACAGAATAAGAATCTTTTTATTGCGGTATCAAAGTTTGGTCATGTGCAGGAGACTTGTGCCTGCAGATAACAAAGCAGGAGAGAGGTTGTTGTTATGATGGCTTTCCCCGATGGCAAAGCTACAGATGGTTTTTGTTATAGTATGAAAAGCAAACAACATTCTGGGCAGAAGACTTTTGCTGGATACTTCATTGTCTGGTGACCTCTGACATTGACTCCAGACATTACATGTTCTCCACAGCAGCTGTGTGAAAGGTTCTTAGAATCCCGGAAGAGACCCCAAATCTCCTCGGCTACCTCAGGTGGTAGATAGATCCGCTGTCTCGTCTTCTTTACCCGAGTGTGGATGTGGGTGGTGGTAATCCAAAATCACACTGCTGAAGTTAGAATCCACTTACCACACTTATTGCGGTAATATGTCTCCACCTTTACAGGGAGTGTGGTTGTTTACCGTCTTGCTGTTGGCTAGCTGTTATAGTTCTGAACGACTCATTAAAGGAAATAAAACACTATGATTGACTCATTATTCACTTCACACACATTCCACTGTAATTTTGATTGATAGATAGATAAACTTTATTGTCCACCTCGAATTGAGGCAGAAATTCGCCTTTGACATGACTCGCCTTACAATACAATCCATATCGCATTCACACAAATACATAAAAGACAATTAAAAGGTATTAAAATTTTATCATCGTAAATAAAACTTTTAAGAATTCAAAATTGTAATTGCGGTGGGAACAAATGATTTCTTATAGACACCTTTCTTGGCCAATGGAACTCTGAACCTCCTTCCTGATGGAAGTAACTGAAAATGTGGGTTCATGGATGGGTTGAGTCTGCACTGATGAGGGTAGCCTTCCTGTGCGCTGCTCGCTCGTGAAGAACAGGAAGTGGGATCTGAGGTGAACCTGTAATTTTGCTGCCTAATTCAACAATGCGAGAGAGTTGTGTTTTGTTTTTAACTGTAAGAAAGTTATACCAAGCTGTAATATTGTAAGTTAGAATGGATTCAATCAGTGATTTGTATACAATTGTTAGGATGTCCTCGTTCACACTGAGTGCTCTTAGCTTCCTTAGCAGGTGGAGTCTTTGCAGCGCTTTCTTGTAGACACCGTCGCTGTGATTTGCAAAGGACAGGTGGTCATCAATTTCTGTTCCCAGATACCGGAATGACTGAACCTGCTCCACAGGCTGACCCTGTATGCTGAGGGGTTCGAACAGGGACGCGTCTGCCTCACTGACTGCCCCTCAGCACATTTCTTTAGTTTTTGAGATATTCAGCCCCAGGTGAAAGTCTCCAAGTGTCTGGACCAGATTGCTGACCGCCTGCTGATATTTAGACAGGTCCTCCGATGTCTTCACTGATGCCACCAGTGCCATGTCGTCTGCATACAGGGCCATTCTCTCACTATGGCACCGGATGTTTGTGTAGACTGAGGAAAGCGCTGGAGACAAAACACAGCCTTGTGGCAGTCCAATGCTGATGACACTTTTCGTGGATTTAAATCCTCTTAAAAACACTTGTTGTGGTCTGTCTTTCAAAAAGTTGTGGATCCATAAAAGCAGCGTCGTGTGGAGATGGAGATCTGAAAGCTGTTCCAGCAAAATGCTGGTGTCTACTGTATTAAATGCAGAAGAAAAATCCATGAATAAGATTCTTGTGTATGGTTGTGTAGAGTCCATGTGTTTAGTGACAGCATTTAGAAGTGTGAGACTTGCATCCTCATCCTCTACACCACGTCTTGCCTTGTAAGCAGATTGTAGGGGATCCAGCTGGTCCCAGATGGATTTTGTCACGTGTCCTCCCACTACCCTTTCCATGCACTTGCACACAACTGATTGAAGGGCCACAGGTCTAAAGTCCCCCAGTTCTTTTGCATGAGCTTTCTTTAGGATCGGAGTTATCATAGATTCTTTCCATTGATCTGGAACGCAGCCAAAGTCCAGAAGGAGCTGGAAGAGTCTGGCGAGTACCCCACCTAGCTGGGTGGAGCATTCTTTCAGAACCCTGCCACGGAGCCCATCAGGGCCAGAGCTCTTGTAGGGGTTGCTGCAGCGCAGGATGGTGGTGACCTCCTCCTCGCTGATGGTTAGCGCTGGTTCAGTGAGGCTGTGGGTGGGGGGGGGGGTTGGGCGGGTGGAAAGAGGGCGAACGCCGTTGAAGCGGGCAAAAAAGACGTTCAGCTGTTCTGCAAACGAGATGGAGTCATGGCAGTTGACTAGCGAAGTCTCAGGGTCTCTTCCCATCATGATGTTCAGGCCCTGCCATGCCTTCCGTGCTCCACATTCTGTTTGTGTTTCCTTTTTGCAAGGATGGCTTTTCTCTGAACGTCTTTCTCCAGCACCCTCACACGCTCATGGTCCTTCTGAAGGAAGGCCCGTTTGTTCTCCACCAGGCACATTTTAAGTTCCTTTGTGATCCACTTTTTGTTGTTTGGGTGTATTTTTATTTGCTTGGTTGTGGTGACTGTTTCTTCACAAAAGAGAATATATGAGGTCATTATATCTGCCAGCATGTTCAGATCGTTTCCACTGTCATTAAAAAATACGTCCCAATTGGTCATTTCAAAACAGCCTTTAATGCTTCACTGGAATCCTCGTTCCAAACCTGGATAGTTTTTGTTTCCACTTCCCCTGTCTTCACTTGCGACCTGTATTTAGGTAGTAGTAAGACTACATTGTGGTCTGATCTACCGAGAGGTGGACGTGACTTTGAGATGAATGCATTTGGGATGTTGCCATAACACTTGTCTAGAATCTTGCTCCCTCTTGTGGCTGTTGTGACATATTGCCCTAGATTAGGTAAATATGTTATGATGTCGCATTTATTAAAGTCTCCCAAAAGAAATACTGGCTGGTCTCCGGTTCTGTTGACAACCCTGTTGAAACTATCTGCTATGGCGTCAGCAGCTAAGTAAAAATCCATATCCAGCTGTTGGTTGTTGAAAACGTGGCTTGAGGTATTTTTAGGGCCAACTATTTGCTTCTAATTCACAGTTCGCATTGTTAGCGCTGCGTTAGCCTCTAGCCTGCTTTAGCAGATGTTAGAGTTAAACAAAAAGATATAGTGGCTTCTTAGGGGTACAAGAAGTAACATCTGGGTCGCTCCTGTTTGCTGGCTTTGGAATAACTGGATGGAGCAGGTAGAGTTCTTCCTGACTACCAGGGCACATTTAAGGAGGGTTCAGGTACTTGAGGCATGAGGGGGTGAGCTAGAGACTCGTTAACGATGTAAGGTGAGCACACCTGTCAGTCTGTTGATGCTGTAAATGACCCATTTCCTGTTCTGCTGGGTGGTTCTCGTTCTGATTCTTTCTTTTTTTGTTTGACTTACAGCTGCTACTGGAGGAGAAGCTGAGTACAGGAAGTCTGTCCCAGGAAGTAGCCGTGTTTGTGGAAACCCTGTGGACCGAAGCTCTGGGTTCCCTCAGTGAGGTTCTGAGTGTTCCCATCAACAAGCTAAGCCTAAACGATGTGAGGTTCTGACCCATCTCTGGTCCGTTTAGGCTGTAAATGTTCTGACGAAGCTGATTGTGTGTTCAGGTTAGCAGAGCCGAGGGCTTGTTGATCCATCTTCAGAAGATCCTAAAGGAGGAGAACGAAGTGGAGGTGTTGTCTCTCCTGGAGGAGGTTTTTGTCTTGCTCCCTCACCTACATCGCCCCGAGACTCCTCCCACCAGGTCCTTCCTCTCCCAGAAGCTGGACCTCTGTCAGGTAACTCTGACCTGAGCTGGGCTCAGATCCAGAGCTCACCCTCCGATCGCCATGGTAACGGGACCTTTGGTTTTCCCCCAGATGATCCGAGATGTTCTGAACGTGAGTGAGATGATCCTGAGGAGTCCAGAGCCGTCAAGCGTGGGGAAGTACCGCGCCCTCCGCTGCAGCATCCAGGTGGTCCCCCCCAACGGCGCCGAGTTCCAGAGCGTTTCCGGTCTGCTAGACGGGTCTGTCAGAACCAGAACCAGAACCCTCAGCCCACCCCTCACAATGCCTGACTGTGTGTGTGTGTTGCAGTCCCATCCAGATCCATCAGGTGTTGAGTGTCAGCAGAGGGGTGGAGCTTCAGACCTTTAGAGCTGACCTGGGGATCGTTAAGCCCCTCCTCCACTCGTCCAGTCCCAGTAACTTTGTGGGAATCCTCTCCCGGTGAGGTCAAAGGTCGAACTCTGCCTTTAATCCGGATGTTTGGTTTGTTTCACGGTAACTTCCTCCTCAGGGGCCTCCTGCTTCCTCGTGTTGCAGTGGAGCATCATGGGATTGAGCGGACAGACGTCGGTAACCTCGGCTCTGGGATCTACTTCAGCAACTCTTTGAGGTTTGTGAGAGCAGTTCTGGCCGTGAGCTGGCGTGTCCCGGAGGTCTGTGGTTGTTGAGTTCTCCTGTGTTCCGTCCAGTACCAGTCTGAAGTACTCCAAACCCGGACAAACGGACCAGTCTCGGCTTCTGCTGGTGTGTGATGTGGCTCTGGGACGGTGCAAGGAGGTCCGTAAGAAGGACCCAACTCTGGACCAGGCTCCTGAGGGCCACCACAGTGTGCACGGGGTCCGCCGCACCAACAGCATCCAGTCAGACTTTGAGGTAGGAAGCTGTAGAGCAGCTGGGTCTAGTCCTGGTCCTCAAGTCCTCACGTCTTCAGTCAGCATCCTGTCCTCAGACTTCTGCTCTAGCAGGCGTGTCGGGGGGCGGAGTCTGCTGTTCCCTCATGTGGATCGGGATGGGTTTGGATCCATGAGGAGGAACAGCCGGTTCCATCTGGGTTAGACATGTTTTCGTAGGAGATGAAGGCGGGATTGTGGACACGAGGACCAGGTCTGCACAGTAACACCTGCTGATGACTTCTCTGTTTCAGGACGATGAGTTTGTCGTCTACTCGCCAGATCAGGTGAAGATCAAGTATGTGGTTCAGTTCAGTGTTGAAGGAGATGGGCTGAAGGACTTTCAACCTGCAGTCAGCATGTCTGCTGTGACGTCTCAGTCAGAGACAGACCAAGGTGAGGTTCAGAGATCTCCATCCCAGGAGGTGGAGGTGTGTTGTCCCGTCTGACTGAGTCTGTGTGCAGAGCTGCTTTTAGTGGACGAAGACATGGACAACATTAAAAACCCTCTGGAGGACGTGACAGCTGGACTCCTGGACAGTTCAGGACAGCAGCTCCCCCTGCAGGCCGTCCATGTGAAGTGTAAACTGATGGATCTGCTCTCTCAGGTGACAAACGAAGCTCCGCCTCTGGCGATGTCTCCTTTTCAGATGTGTTTACGTTTCTGTCGTCTGTTAGGTGATCATTTTCCAGAAATACACCAATCTGAGCTCGTTTCCTATTGAGGCGAAATACGTGTTCCCGCTGGACGATTCTGCTGCCGTGTGTGGGTTTGAAGCTTTCATCAATGGGAAACATGTGGTGGGACAGGTAAGGTTCCTCTTAATGAAGCTTCTTTCTAACGCTGGTCACCAAAGAGAAGAAAATGACTGGTTTATGGTTTTTTTATCGTGATCAAATGTTTTCAGGTGAAGGAGAAAGAAACTGCTCGTAGGGAATATAAACAGGCAATAGAGCGAGGTCATGGGGCGTTCCTGATGGACCAGGATGCTCCTGTAGGTCCAGCATCGTCCTGATGGATCACAGAACTTCCCTCTGGCCCAGGGTGATGTTTCTTCTTTCTGGCTTCAGGATGTGTTCACCATCAGTGTGGGCAACCTACCGCCTGGAGCCACCGTCCTCATCAAAGTCACCTTTGTGTCTGAGCTGGTGGTCAAAGATGGGAACATCCTGTTTTCTCTGCCAGGAAGCGTGGCTCCATGGCAGGAAAGCGCCGCCCTCAACCAAACCACACAAGTAAGAGGAAGAGCCTGGAAAAAAAGGGGTGGAGCCTAAAGGTCAACAGCCAGAGGCCAAAGGGGCGTGGCCTATAAATCTGTGCCCTTTCTCTAAGGATTTTAAGTCCGATACCCATATCCGATAATGATGTCGCTGTTGTGGCCGAGACCGATACCGATAATAATGTCGCTGTGTAACGTACCAAAAGGGTCAAGTTTTCACCATCTAACTGACCGCTGTATAACTCTTCATCTACAGGCGTAAACCCTATCTGTCCTCCGAATCCAGAAGGTTCTACTCGGTGCTCGTTTACACACAAGAAGACATAACATTCAGAAAAACACTCTCCCAAGGTCTCCTACGCTCTCTGCGTAAAAGCCAGACTGCTGATTCCTCACCTTAAATAAAAATCAAACCTACTTGAAGCTCCTACCTGACTTTAGTTATAAATTAAATAATCATATTTGATGAATGAACAAGATGTTTAAATCAAATGTTTGAATAATCTGTGCTTAAACCACGATGGCTTTGAAATGAATATTGTTCTTACAATGATCCATTTCAGATCTTCTGATCAGTTTGTGTTTGATTTGACAAGTTAATCAACATCTACACTCATACACATCACAATAAGATACTCATTAAGGTTAATATTCACCTCACATAAGAGTTTTAAACACCTTCGTATCTGAAGAAGGCGTGGCTTCTGAGGGATGTTGGTAAAGACTCAAAAACTTGTCAAACTGATTTGCCAAACTTGGCCAAAACTCATAACGTGCTTTATTAAAACAAGAACTACTTCCCGATTAATTCGGTTTCTAGCCGATTCTCGAACCGGCCAATTCGGGAACAAGCAATTTTGAGACATCTCTTTTGACCTTCAGTCAAAGCCTCTCTGCGACGCTGCAAGTTGATACAGCCAGACGGCTCTTTTAAGAGCTACTTCACACTCGGGACATCTAACCACAGACCCCGGGTTGCATCTCATGACAGGGGAAGCAGAACTCAGAGGAAGCTACTAATCTCTAAGTATTGTGGTTTCGACGTCGGTGATCTCACCACTCGGACCGCCCCCTCCGGACCGCCGGGAGCAACTCATACCAAGGGTATCGTAGCCTGCATACTGGTGTCTGATGACTTTTATAAATGAACAACTCTCTAGTATATAACCAGACAACAAATTCTTTTACAACCCAGACTTAACCAGACTTCCATCACACCACCTCACACATCACATTAAACCACTTCATATCCACTACACCACATCTCATTATTCATATATTGTCATGTATAATCCTTAGTTTAGGAAAAATAATTAAATTCATTTTATAAACTATTTACTGACGCTGTCTGAATTAATATGAAGTGTGTTCATGGTCCCTAAAGAAGCAAAGAACCCTAGAATCTTCTGATTAAACATTCAAATATCAGTCAGGTTGATATTTCATATTTATATGGAAGTATCACATCCTATTGGTCAAAATTAACTAATGTATTGTAGCCGATACCGATAATAATATCGCTGTTGTGGCTGATGCCGATAAACATGACAATGCTTCTAAAATCAGCAGATTTTGTATAGAATGAAAATTATTAAAGCTGAATTTACGATATGTGCACATACCACACACACATTTACACTTCTGAGACAATTACATTCACTGTCACATGACTAAACAAATCCACGTCACGTCCCCCACCCCACCCACCGAAACAGATAAACAAATGGAAACCATATCGACCCAGTTATATTCATCAGACCAATACCGATATGTTAAAAAATGACTAACATCAGCCGATACTGATATTGATGCTGTTATATTGTGCATCCCTACTTTTCTCAATACCCAAGGACGCTAGTACATTCTTGTGTACTTAACAAGAATGTACTTGGCAAGGACACCAGGAAATCCATTCTCCAGAGCTTTCTCCTTTGACGTTGGGAGTATAACGGTTGTGACACAATGCACTATGGGATTCTTTGCTGTCCCAAGTCCGCAGCAGGATGCATTCTCGATAAAATAGGCGAAGCCAGAATACACCGGGAACTTGCCATGAAGCGTACGTAGAATTGGAACAGTACTCACCGTTAATGACATTTCACCAGTACACAAGTTCAGGCGAGGTCACATACTGAGAAACGGCCCAAGAGCCAGGACCAAAGGGGAGGGGCCTAAAGCCTTCATCTTTTTTTGAGGTGTGGATGTAACGGGACCTCTTCATTATCACAGAAACTGTCCAGCTGATGGAGTGTGTTCTGGTGGATTAAAGCTGATAAGTGTGTTTCCTGTCTCAGGTGTCTGTGCAGAAGGTGTGTGTGACGGATGAAGTAGCAGATAAAAGGTGATCTTCAGGCTGGGCAGCAGCTGACCTGCAGGTTTTAGTGTGAGTCCTGTCTGTTAGTGAACTAACTGCACAGATGAGCATCGTTGTGTTTCTGGCCCTCAGGGAGTTCACGTTGGAGATGTCCGTTGAGATGCCCCACGAGATCTCCAGTCTGGTCTGCATTACCCACCAGATCCAGATGAAAGTGAGTTTTAGGCATTAACGCAAGGAGCCGTCTGCATATCGGGATCTATTTAGCAGATTGTTGTCTCTGTTTAAGTTTTGGTGTGTGTGTGTGTGTGTGTGTGCGTGCGATCACTTAGAGGACTGCCTGTAAGGCAGTGGTCAGGGTTCTGCCGGATCAGGTCCTGGGTCCAGAAGGTTTCCAGCTGTCCATCAGTCTGTCGGAGACTCACCTACCCAGGATGTGGGTGGAGAAACACCCTGACAAGGACAGCCAGGTCCGTTTCTTAAACTCTGAAACATCTTCTAACGTGTGTCATAAAACTTCATCAACTGGATATCAAAGGTTCTGAAGGATCAACAGACCCGTTCTCTGCTGCAGGCCTGCATGCTGGTTTTCTACCCGGACTTTAATCCCATCTCCCATTCTGAAGCCGGCGAAGTCGTCCTGTTGTTGGACACGTCTGAGTCCATGAGGGGGGAGTCTCTTCGCCTGGCCCAGCAGATCGCCCTTCAGGTTCTCCGGAAACTCCAGAACAGCACCAGAATCAACGTGATTTTGTTTGGAACAGGTTGGACTGGATGGAGTAAATCCAGTTTCTGCTTTGGAGTCTGTCTTCATGTTTCTGGTTTATGTGCTCATCAGATCACACTGAAGCTTTGCTGAGAACTCGGAAGCTGGCTGAAGTTCATCTGACAGCCCAGAGCTTCATCAAGGTGAGTTCAGAGTCCTCCCAGTTGCTCAGCTGACGAAAACGTTGTAAACCCCCGCTCTGTTGTGTTAGCACTGCTCCCTAGTAGGGGGCAGCACCGAGCTGTGGCGGCCACTCCGGGCCCTCAGCCTGCTGCCGCCGTCCCGCGGTGTCCGAAACCTGCTGCTGCTCTCTGACGGCCACATCCAGAATGCCGCTTTCACCCTGCAGCTGCTCAAGGACAACGTTCAGCACAGCCGCCTCTTCACCTGTGGCCTGAGGTAGGAACAGCTCCCGGGGTCAGATGTCATGGGGTGGGGCTTACCGATGCCCAGAAATAACCTGATCAAACAAGTAAACCTGTATCACCACCCAGAAGGCTTTAACCACCTCTAGTCCTTTAGACTTCTAAGGGTCTGTCGTGGACCACCTCCTGTTCTTTTAGCATAGCAGGAAAAGTCCTTTATAAACATAGAAAATAGCAAAACACAAGAAGATGCTTCTGCTGCGATGGACTGGCTTTCAGTCCAGGGTGTACCCCGCCTGATTGCCCATTGACCGCTGGAGATACCCCCCCCCCCTCCCACCCGCGACCCTACGTGGACAAAGCGGGTTCGGACGATAGATGGATGGATGGAAGATGCTTCTGACCATCATCTAAAAACAGCGGCTGCTGTTCTGATGAACATTCCAGTCATCAGGAGCTTTCACAGAAAAACTCTCAAACAGCAAAAAGATCAGGAGAGTCGGTGCAATTATTCCACGGAAACCTTCTCAAAGCTGCATATTTTATTATCTAATTAAGATATCTAGCCTCTGCAGGAGGACCAAACACCCCTGAGTTACATCAGAGGAAGTTGAGTTTAAATAAAATATATAATAAATAAATGTTTTATTGACATTAAAGCTAAAAGCCAGCATAGAACATTTAGATTTAGTTTAGACTTTATCTCGATGCACTGGAATCTCCCGTTATCCCACACCGAGTGTTGTCTCTGTCCTTTTAGATGAGTTGGGATCGGGTCACCCTAAACACAGGTGAGTCAGGTAAAACTAGAATCTGGTGCTAAAGTCCATACAGGTGCTGGCCAGTAAATTAGAATATCATCAAAAGGTTGAAAATATTTCAGTAATTCCATTCAAAACGTGAAACTTGTACATTATATTCATGCAATGCACACAGACCAATGTATTTCCAATGTTCATTACATTTAAATTTGATATTCATAAGTGACAACTAATGAAAACTCCAAATTTGGTATCTCAAAAAATTAGAATATTCTGAAAAGGCTGAACATAGAAGACACCTGCTGCCACTCTAATCAGCTGATTTACTCAAAACACCTGCAAAGGCCTTTAAAAGGTCCCTCAGTCTTGTTTTGAAGGCACCACAATCATGGGGAAGACTTCTGACTTAACAGCTGTCCAAAAGACAATCATTGACACCTTGCACAAGGAGGGCAAGACACAAAAGGTGATTGCTAAAGAAGCTGGCTGTTCGCAGAGCTCTGTGTCCAAGCACATTAACAGACAGGCGAAGGGACGGAAAAAATGTGGTAGAAAAAAGTGTACAAGCTCTAGGGATAACCGCACCCTGCAGAGAATTGTGACGACAAACCCATTCAAAAATGTGGGGGAGATCCACAAAGAGTGGACTGCAGCTGGAGTCAGCGCTTCAAGAACCACCACGAGGAGACTCATGAAAGACATGGGATTCAGGTGTCGCATTCCGTGTGTCAAGCCACTCTTGAACAAGAAACAGCGCAAGAAGCGTCTCGCCTGGGCCAAGGACAAAAAGGACTGGACTGATGCTGAGTGGTCCAAAGTTATGTTTTCTGATGAAAGCAAGTTCTGCATTTCCTTTGGAAATCAAGGACCCAGAGTCTGGAGGAAGAGCGGAGAAGCACAGAATCCACGTTGCATGAGGTCCAGTGTAAAGTTTCCACCGTCAGTGATGGTGTGGGGTGCCATGTCATCTGCCGGTGTTGGCCCACTCTGTTTCCTGAGGTCCAGGGTCAATGCAGCCGTCTACCAGGAAGTTTTAGAGCACTTCATGCTTCCTGCTGCTGACCAACTTTATGGGGATGCAGACTTCACCTTTCAACAGGACTTGGCACCTGCACACAGTGCCAAAACCACCAGCACCTGGTTCAAGGACCATGGTATCCCTGTCCTTGATTGGCCAGCAAACTCGCCTGACCTTAACCCCATAGAAAATCTATGGGGTATTGTGAAGCGGAGGATGCAATACGCTAGACCCAACAATGCAGAGGAGCTGAAGACGACTATCAGAGCAACCTGGGCTCTCATAACACCTGAGCAGTGCCACAGACTGATCGAGTCCATGCCACGCCGCATTACTGCAGTTATTGAGGCAAAAGGAGCCCCGACTAAGTATTGAGTGCTATACATGCACATTCTTTTCATGTTCATTCTTTTCAGTTGGCCAACATTAGAGAAACAAACATTTTTTCATTGGCCTTTAGAATATTCTAATTTTCTGAGATACCAGATTTGATGTTTTCATTGGTTGTCACCTATAAATATCAAAATTAAACGTAATAAACATCGGAAATACATTGGTCTGTGTGCATTGCATGAATATAATGTACAAGTTTCACGTTTTGAATGGAATTACTGAAATATTTTCAACCTTTTGATGATATTCTAATTTACTGGCCAGCACCTGTATGTCAGTAATCCAGCTCAGACTGAAAGACCGTCTAAAGGGTCAGGAAGCCTCTGCAGGTGTTCTGGGTTCATCAGCTGACTAGAGTGACACTTTGAGTCTAGAACAGCGG